AGGGATGCAAAATATATGGTGGTGTCAAGCAAATTGGTGAGAGCTTTCCTTGCTGGAAGTGATGACACCAGTAAGCCAGCATCTGTTCGTTTTGATGACAGCAAAGAGGTCAAAGTGCAAGATTGTAAACATGCTATTTCATTTGAAAAAGAAAACAATGACGAAACTGTTCTCTGTCCTGTTGAAAGCTACAATAATAATAAACAAGAAGATTCCACTTTGTCAGAAACAAATCCACAGAATAGTGTTGCTAAGCTGAAAGAGGATGATCTAATAAATATTTTAACACATAGGGATATTGGATTTATGAAGTTTGATACAACAGGCTCAGCAGTTGTAACACATGCATATCGTACAGAGATTGTTAAAGTTGGTGCACATGAATTTCAACAGAAAGAGAGTCCATTTGATGCCAAAGATGAGCGTTCTATGTGCAAAATATTGCTTATGGAGATTTCGAAGACGGAAAATTGCAAGAAAAATGTTATGACTTAGCAAAGGGTTATCCAGGTGATATTGATGGATCAGAATTGTATAGAGAAATTAAAGACTGTAGAATGTTGATAAGTAAAAGAACACAGACCGATTTTCCTGAACCAATGGTTGCAACTGATTTGCTAACAATTATAATTTCATATGGTGAAGATGTTTTTCCAAATTTATGAATTGCTTTGCAGATTCTGTTAACAATTGGGGTTTCTATTGCTAGTTGTGAAAGGTCGTCCAGCAAGCTGAAATTAATTCGTACATACTTGAGAACCTCAATGACTCAAGAACGACTTAGTAACTTGGCAATAGTAAGTATGGAAAAAAGACGTACTTAATACCTTAAATTTTGATAACTTAACTGATGCATTTGCAGCAGCAAAAGCAAAAAAAAGGTTCATATAATGTAACCATGAATACCAGAATGCTACTTGGACAAGATCTAGTTAAGTATATGTACAGTTTTGTAAACTAGTAAAATTTGTTATTTTAAATTTAAGTTGTCTTTTATCAATCTGTTTTATAATCCATGTACACCACAAGTGACTGGCTTCTCATATAAAACATAAGTTTCAAAACTAGGGATATAACAGAAATTTATTCTGCATGCTTGAAAGATTACTCTAGCTATGTGACTTTGAACAATACTGGATGACATAAATATCAAAATGGTTTACAAATTATGTAAGTACACCTAGTAGGCTATACTTCATTAGTTCCAGGTTTACGGTTGTTATATCGTGAGATGTTATATTGTGACTTGATTTTAGGCCTGTGTAAGGCGGTAATTAATTCTTTATGTTATTGTCATTAAGTGGGTAATGAATCACAAAACAAATAATCAAAACATTTCAGAGGTGGGGGTGCCAAAAGTGTCTACCCCCTGGTGCTGAGAACCCTTGCTACGCCACTGCTAATATCTTTTACATAAATAACTACATCTGTATATGTTAGGTATTACTACCTTAACACATGCCCTTCATGAAGTCTTTAAAGATGGAACATTTTTCACCTTCAATTTTACTTCTGCTCACATATATCTCATCTATCATACTATTAGTTTTCATAATGATATTCTAATTTAATGTTCTGTGTTGTATCTAAAAATAATAGTGTGGTCAAAACACTGTACATATTCTAAGATACGAAAATTGCCAACTATCCACTGCAAACTGTAAATAAATTAAAATATTTAAATAATTTGAATGTAATTGTTCACATAGAATCTAGTAATGCTTTTCTATTAGTGATGTCCTCTAGTAGATCAGTGGTTAGCTTGCAGACTTACAACATCAAAATTTAGGGTTTGATTCCCAGAGCACAGATAGCCTAGTATGAAGCTTCACACCAAAGACTTTAACAATAATGTCTATTGGTGATAAAATATTAAGACTATTATTTTCAAAGAAATTTTGTTTGTGCTCACAAAGTCTTAATGTTCATATACTCTTGGTAATAATGATTCAGTTTTGGCATGAGGTTAAAAGAGTTAAAAGTTAAAGTTTTATACAATGTAATAACCCACAAACATTTAATTTACTGAAAATCCTTAATTCTTTTCATTATTCACTATGTATCTTAATTTTTCCTAACAATAGAAGTTTGACCCATTCAGACCAATGAGCTGATACTCTGCTATTAAGCTAGCAAGGTTTTAAGCTCCCTTTTACCCTAAGTTTGATGATTTCATTACCCCCTACCATATATATAGAACAAAATACAACACATTTTTCCACAAAATGTTGAGCATGCTCACCGATATCTTGAACTCCTCCCCCTTCACACACATATAGGAAAGACAACATACAACATATTTTTCAACTCTGACCACACAGATCAGAAAAAAACGTTGAGCATGCTCACCGATATCTTGAACTTCTCCCCCTTCACACACATATAGGAAAGACAACATACAACATATTTTTCAACTCTGACCACACAGATCAGAAAAAAACGTTGAGCATGCTCACAGATATCTTGATCTGTACATAGTTAAGAAAACCCTCACTGGTTGTACAACTACTAATTACGTGTCAATTTAATGAAACAGGGCACTAAGAAACTTGTCTTGACTGGGATTTTGAGTAGAGACTAGATTGAAACCAATGTCTTCACATTATGTCTGTGCATGTGAAAGATATGTTGTTCTTAAAGTAAAAAGAACAAAAAAATACTTTTGATTTTACTGTTGAAAGAATTCAAAATTGTGCCTCTACAGTATTTATGAATATATTTTTTACAGTTTTTTATATATATATATATTTAGCCAATACAGATTATCATTAATAATGTTGTTGCAGGCCTCTGAAGATATATATATATATATATATATATATATC